GATGTTGCCTATTATTTCAGCTGTTTGTGAGGTTTAATTGTGGGAAGAATGCCCATTCTGATTTTAACAAGGTGAACAAAAAGCTCAACTTGAAATAATGAAGTGGCACAACTAAATTACTACCATAACTACAATCAGATAGTAGATGCCTGTAATGACAATGGAGGTGCATTTGCCTGGCTGTGCTGGAGACTGATCAGATCTTTGCTTTTGAGCAATTACCTCCTCCAGACCTGTTCTGTTCACCTGGGGTGATTATTGGCAATAGGCCCATACCTCTGCATGCATGTATGTGAGCATGCCTGTGATATCAACTTATTTCCCATATGGCAATGTGCCCACATTTGACTACCCTGTTTTTGTCTGCTTTTGTTTGCCTAGTGCTTGTCAAAGTTGCACAACACCCCTGACTTCCTCTTAGGGAAGAGTAGGAGCAGGTTGGGCTGCAGAGTACAGCAGTCAAAGTCCAAAGTGAATCCAACCACTGGGTGGTAAGTTATTCAACAAGCAGTGAGTGGAGGGGTATGGAGGAAAGTTTCAGAGACAGGAATCAAAGTCAGAGGTCAGAGGTCAGATGAGAGGGCATTGGGATCAGCTAGTGCACTGCCCCCTTGCATGAGCTCAGCCCTCATATTTCAGAGGTAGAGCACACTCAGGAGTGGAGGTGAAACTCTGGAGGGGACTCAGAGGGAGTCAGAAGTGGGGACTTTATTGACAATATTCATACTGATTACATTGGAGTACTATGCAGCCTTATATATGATGTAAGTCAAGGGCAGGGCAGTGTAGAATGCAAGCCAATAAACATATAACAGGTTAGCAGTACCTCCAACACAAGGGATAGAGGATAGGGACAACAGGGACCTTAACTGAGACAAGGGAACTACTATGATGGGGGAGAGAGGGTAAATACCAAAGGAGTGGAAGAACAGAAAACCAACACAAGGGCAGAACCCTATCTGGGATGCAGGGCTGCAAGTCTGATGCCCTGACAAGCCAACCAAGGTCTTGGAGGAGGCACAGGTGAAGGTCTGGCCTTCATGTGACTGGCCTGAGAGCAGAGGTGGTTGGAGTTGGTCAGAATACAGACAGGGGACCTCAGAGAGGTGGGGAGACATGTCAGAAGGATTGGAGGAGTGTGGGAATGCATCAGAAGAGGGCAGAGAAAGGCTCCCAGGGTGCAGAAGAGGGTGGAGTAGATGTTAGGGGCTTATGTCATGGTCATGGTCATGACAGTCATGACACCAGTGTGAACTTGCCACCCTTGAGAAGACTACATAAAACTGCCTTCTCACTGCAAAGAATGTGTTTGATTTGCAGAAGAAAGTTCTATCTGATATGCATACTTTGCTTGCTACTCAAGAACAAGAGCTCTGCAGACTCCAGCATGAAATTCAAGTCAGCCATCACATATCACTGTCTTGGACTGTATTCATGTGAACCAAGGAGCATCACCAAGAGTGCAGTGGTTTGCAAAACCTCCAAGAAGAGGTTCAGGTAAGAAGTGCATAGCTTTACTTAGTATCACACTCATGTGTTTGAAAGGAAAACCACAGACAGCAGGAAACTCTTCTTAAATCTCATGAGCAGGAACTTACCATGCTCAGAGATGAAATTCAGGTATGCCATCCTCAGTGCTCTGTCAGGCCATTTCTCAATGAATGAAGGAACAACACTGTCAGCATGATACCTTACTGGCAGCTCAAAAGGAGAAGTTTTTGAGGTTCTGAAATGAACTGCAGGTGAGTCATTGTGGATCACTATACACTCCTGACAATTTACATCACACTGAAGGAACATGATTGACTATGGGAAATCAAGATAGAACAACATACTGCTGCTATGGAAGAGCACTTGTGATCAGAACTAAAGAAGGTTGATGATGATGTGGTGACACACTCCCAAGCAGAGAAAGAGAGGGAATTAGCAGCAATTGTTCAACACAATATGTGACATAGACATGTAAGTGACCAAACTATGTAGTTTGTCAGGCTATGCTGACTGCCCTCAGACAATGCAAACAGCATCTCAAGCTGAACTAGCATGCTTTCCAGCTGAATCCAAGTCTCCTACCTGCCAGGACAACCAGCCACAAACACCATGACAAGCATCCACTGCACCACTGCCCTGGCATGCATGAACTCCATATTTGGATGCTATCAAGAAGATCAAATGAACCTGAGCAGCTTCATGAAGAACCCACCTCATTGGCATATCTCACAAGGTAAGGAAATATATGACTTGATATGAATATCTCACCAACAATAGCCTATTGACAATGAAGAGTTCCAATCTACTGCTTCAGAACTGAGGTATCACACACAAACAACAGTGATCCTGTATCAATGGTGGAGGCAATTGCCAAGGGGGTTGAAGCTGTGCTTTGGAAAGTACTTGGTGATGGTGCTATCACTATGGCATGAACAGGGCAGTCACAGTGGTCACCTCAAAAACAAAAGGAGGTGAATAAAGAAGTGGAGATAGAGAAGGCTACAGAGCCACAAGGACATCATGATCTTATACTGGTAAGTGACATTGCTAATTCTGTTCATGTGTTAAACCAGCTGTGATAGAGTGAAGTCTGTTGCTTCTTCAAGGAAAAACTCAAAATAAGTCAGGACCATGAATTTATTGTGAACAAAACAGCCACCCCTGATGATGTCCATGCATACAAACACGAAGATGGTCCACCACCCAACATGGACTCACCAACTTTCAACCTCACACAGGGCTATTCCTCACCATGGAATTCTTTCATCATCGACCACCTGCTCAACAAATTTCAGAGATCAGGCAATGAAGAACACTGGCCTGTAATGAAGTCCAATGATTATGTGTTGGAAATCTTACATGAATGCTACAAACATCTATGCATGACATGGCAGAAAGCTTGGCCATGTATTACAACAAAGGGCACAGTAGAAACTTCCACTGAGATTGAAGAATGCTTGGTAGTGGAACAAACCTGGGTACTCAAAGAGGGCAGACAGACCACATGACAATGAAATGTAGGGTGTTGATTTTGCTGTTTCATACAAGTAACTCAACCTGTTTTAGAAATATCAACATTGATGTGCTGTTCTCAAACATATCATTGCTCTCAAGAAAGAATCCATGAATGGCGAAGGTGATCTCCATGCTTGGCAATGGCTCCTGCAGCTGATCCACACACTGGGTGAGCATGGGATGAGTTCCAAGGACAGTGACATTGACAATAACATCATGACTATCCTTGGAGTTAAGAATATGGCATGGCAATGCAGTGTCAAATGGGAACTTGATATTATTGACCTCCAGAGACTTTTCAACAATGATGTTTTTGCACTCCAAGGATCAAAGCCTATCCAGAGGTTTCATGCACTTGGAAACCCCCAAAGTTTGTGCACTCCAGTCCCAGGCTTACCACAGTCTATCTATGATTCCATTTGGCTTTCTGGGCTTACTCACCATGAATGGGACTGCCTGAAAGTATCAGAGGAACCATTTCCATGGATGGAGATAGCCATTGCCTGATACTAGATACCAAATGTAGTGTATGTACATATGTATCAATACTAAGAACATCTATGTGAAAATGGATGATCACACTGAGTGGTTGTTGTGTGACCACAGGGCAATCATTGGGTGATGAACAGGTGACTGTCAGGCGATTAGTACAGGCTGTGGCAAAACTGAAAGTGTAGGCACATGTAGGAACACTAATTCTAGACTTTGAAGTAAAATTTGTTACTGGAATTTTGGCAGTACTTTGTGTATTGTCAGTTATGCAAATTAGGACAAAACTTAAAGTTTCACCCCACACTGCATGTGTTCACCTTGTTTACAAGGTCACTCCAGCCTGAAATGTGAGACACATTTTTTGACATCCACACTCATGCCAGTCAACCAACTCCACTCAGCACAACCCACTGGTCATGACTGCTGGAACCACCCACTGCCATGCAAGCTAAGGGTTGCCATGCTGGGGAAAGGCAATAGTACAGAGGTAGACTGAAGAGTATTTTTATCTTTATATACAATCAATCAGTCTCTATTTGTTTATATATCCCTTCTGTCATCTTTGTCAGATCCCACCATTGCCTTGTCTCTTCATCCATTTTGTGCAGATGCTTGTCTTCCCTTCAAGAGTATTCACTAGGATGCTGAGTGAACAGTTGGTCATTGAAGTCTCTTAGCAGCTGGATTGTCTCATGCCCATGGCTACACAAGAGTGCCACATATGCATTAAATGGAGTCAACTGACCACAAGGTGGTGTGCCAATGTTGACTATGCAGTGCTTGAGTGTTTGAGCTTGTGTGTGATAATCCATAAATGCATATGCTGGTGTTATTGGCAACTGCACATGGGAGATTGTTGATCAGTGTAGGGAGCTGTCTACTCCCTGAGGCTGAAACAGGATACTGCCAGTAAAATCCACTGCCTCCGTGACAAGCCCCTAGAGCTCTGTGCCTTCGGAGTTCTTCTGCTTGCTGCCTCATGTTCTGTCTTACCCCCTTTCAGCCTTGGAGTTTCTCTAGTCATCAATAAGCCAATCCAAAAAATTCCATGTTTGCCCAGAGTCCTCAATAGGCTCCACCCAGCCACATTGCCAGCCATCTGTGCAGCTCATTGCTAAAAAAAAAAACCCTGTTGCCCCTGTTGCCCCAAATTCTGCAATCTGACCCCTCAAACCTGGACACTTTTACCTTCTGCACTGCTGCTGTCCCACTACCCCCACTCTCCACCTGTATGCATATCCTTGTTCTGTTGTAAGATACCCCCCTTGCCCTTGTTCCTGTTACTCTCATTTACCACTTGCCAGACTAATTCATGTGCATCTGTATTTCATGTATGAGCTGATTTTTTTCTGCCATTTAACAGTATCATGCCTCTGAGCATTGCCTTAGATGTGGTATTGATTATAGCAAGTGACTGTACCTATATTGTGCAAAGTCTTGCTGTCAATCACCAAAGCTGCAATGCCTGTGTATGCTGCCTTCACAAGCATACCACTAGCACCTCAGCAGGCAAGATTGTCCATGATCATTTGTATCATCTTCAACTTGCCAACACCACCCTCCCCTGGAATGATCATACACAGCTGATTGGGACACCCACCCATGACAAACTGTTGTAAGTGCCAATCATTGATGTTGTGTGCTCAGTGTTGATCTTCTAACAGGTCATTGATGTCTGTTGGCTCAAGTCTGTTTTCATCACCCACCAGTTGTGCAAGCATGTAGGTGCCTCCTGCATCTATGCCTGCCATGCCATTTTTTTCAATGACACTGCCCTGGTCCATTTCATCATTGGCCATGACTGACATCTGGTTTTGGTTAGCACTATCCACCATGGTATGCATGGTGGTCATCCATCCTTCTAGTTGAGGTACATCCCCTCCTACAGCTATTCAATATGAATAATTATCTGAGGGCTGGGTGGGGGCACTGGCTGTGAATACCCCATACTGTAGTGCTATGGCTAATGTCTGTTTAGCATGAGCTTGTTCTCATGCTGAAAGTTGATCATGTTGGAAAGTTGCAAGGTCTGCCTTGAAGAGAGTTGCTGTCCAGTCCTTGCAATCCTCTGAGTCATTGGCAGTATCCACCACAATGTCTGCCAATTGATGATCACATACCAGTGCATAGTGTTGACATGCCTCACCAGGAACTGATGCTGTTTTGCATGCTGTTTTAGAGTCATAATAGTATTGCAAACTGGCCAGCACACATGTCACCCATGGTGTATTTGAACTGTTCATACATTCAAAAGCAGCACTCCATCCCTTGTCCTTGCCTTTCAGATCAGCTGCTATTTGCCATGGCTTCAACAAGGCCAACATGCATGTGCAGTAGAAATCATATGTGTTGCTGTCATCATGACAGGGTAGCCATGGGCCTACAACTTGAGGGAGCATATTGTGTCCTTTGGCTCAATGAACCCAGCAGTGTGTTTGAGCTTTGGGGTGATGCTCTTGATAAGGTGAGTGCATATGAGCTGTCCAGCCCCTTGTGTGAGATGTTCACTAACTTTGCTCCTCATCCTTTGGTGTATAACATTCTTCCCATGTATCACACATGAATGTGAGAAGTGACAGTTCCTCCAACTCAGTGCTGTGTTGGAGATAATCTTGCATTTGTGTGCTTGTATACAGCTGCCCTTGACCACTGCACAGTAATGTCACAACATCATTATTGTTGTCTCTGTCCATGCACTCCTTGTCCTCACTGTTCATGTGGTATGATACCTGGCCAGACATGACAGTGTGTACACTGGCCATCATGCTGCATGGGTGACATATGTATTAGCTTTCCTTTCTGTTGAACCTACCAAGAACTCTGGGTAAAAGCCTCTAAGGGTACTGAATAATGGTCCTGTGTACACCACAGTGTAGTGGTGTGATGTGAATGTGTCACCATATCCCATCAGGTACAATACAACCTGTGGTCCCTATAGTTCTGCTTCACAATTGATCATGTTGATACAGCAGTATATCAAAAGGCAGTTGTGTTCACAGACATCATCATACTTTGGATTATTTATGTGATAGGGCAATGCTGATGCCATCAAGGCAGAAAGGTTGTGGCTCTTCTTTTGTTTTTTGGTGGTGTATGCAGTGATATAGAACACAATGTCTTTAGTATCTACACTGTTTGTGTTAATTTTGAGGTCATTGTTGCATCACATCGTCATCACAAAGGCAGGGCAACATGCATTTATATATCCATACATCCATCATGGTCCCCAATTCCCTTCCAAATGTGAAAAGTCTTGACTGTTCATGGCCTCTGGACCATTGTTGCTGGTACAGACATGGAGGTAAAACCTCCAGACCAGAAAACTCATCCTGATGAGTATGAGGAATGGCTCCTCAAGGACCAGGAAGCATGTGCACAAATCACACTCACACTCAAGGATGAACCCCTTAGCAGAGTGCTGTATGTGAAAACTGCTGCTGAGACATGGAAGAAACTCAGTGAGAGATATGAAGGAAAAGGCAAGCAGACTATTGCCTGCCTCATCAGCAAGTTGTTCTGAGGAACACTTGCAGACAACCAACCAATGGAGATGTAGCTGAATGCAATGCATCAGCAGGCTCATATTCTTGCCTCACTTGAAAAACCACTCAAGGACTCACTTGTAGCCATTGCAATGGTCATCTCACTCCCACCATCATACTCTACCCTCTGCACAATCCTAATGTTGTCAAATGACAAGATATCTCCTGAGATGGTTATTTCCCAAGTCCTTGTTGAAGAAAAGTCACAACAAACTTTGAAATCACATTCTGCTCTTGCTGCAAAGACAAACACAGGCAAGAAGTCAAAAATGGCAGACAAGAAGAAGAAAGAGAAGAAGCGTGCCTATGCACCATGTGGCAAGACAGGACACACAGAGGACAAATGCTACAAGAAGACAGCAGATGAAGCAGCTAAAGCTCCATCCCAAAGTACCTTGCATGGGGATAAGGACAAGTCAAAGGAGAGGTCAGAACTGACAGCAAAGATTGCAGCTGTGGCAGAAGAAGAGGAAGGCACTCTTCACTTATTCATAGCTTGCACATGCCCAGAAAATAGTGCATCAGAGTGGGTTGTAGACTCTGGGGCCTCCACACACATGTGCTGCCAGTGGTCATGGTTTATGACATTCAGAAAACTGGTCCCCTCTCAACCAGTGATCATTGGTGATGGCAGAACAATCCAAGCCATAGGCAAGGGGAGAATCAAACTCTCCATGCACCTTAAGGATGGATGCACAAGCAAAACCATCCTACAAGACATATACTGTGTTCCTGATCTCGACACAAACCTCATGTCAGTCCCCTCCTTGGCCTTGAAAGGACTAAAAGTTACCTTTGGAGAACAGACATGCCAGGTTCATGCAGAAGGCCAGGTTGTAGCTCTTGCCACCAAATGCAGATCCCTCTACATACTTGAAGCTAGTGTCATATCAGGGAGCCATGCTGCCAATATCATCAATACCCCAGATGCACTTGATGCAAATGAGCCAAACATGTCTCTCACCTCTCAGATGATGATATCCAAAGCTACTCTGATTACGTGGCACCATCATCTTGGACATGCCAATGTCAAACATGTCCTAAATTTGCTGGACAAGGACATGGTGTCTGGAATGGATGTCTGTCATAGGGACCAGGGAGATCAGCACACACACATGCAAGGCCTGTCTCGAAGGCAAACAACACAGGGACCCTATTTTGTCAAAGTCAGACATGGAAAATCCATGCATACTACATCAGACTTACACAGATGTGTGTGGACCCATGGAAACAACAGCATGGACAGGCCACAAGTACTTCATGACCTTCATCGATGGCCATTCACATCATCTAGTGGTGAAATTGGCTAAATCAAAGGACAAAGTCTTTGCACTCACAAAGCAGTACTTTGAGAGAGCAGAAGCAGAGACAGGTTGTCAGCCAAACTATCTTTGGAGCAATGGTGGTGGCAAATATGGCTCAAAGGAATTTGAAGCCTACCTGAAGTCCAAAGGGATACACCATGAGAGGATGAATGCATATACACCACAGGAAAATGGAGTAGCAGAGCACATGAATCACACTATTGTAGAATCTGCATGTGCTATGCTAAGTGATGCTGGCCTACCCAACAAGTACTGGGGAGATGCAATCCTCCATATGGCACACATAATAAATTGCCTGCCTACAAGGGTACTCAAGCAAGATCTTACACCCTACAAAGCATACACAGGAAATAAACCAGTAATTTCTCATCTACAGGTTTTTGGATGCACAGCACATACCCACATACCTGAGGAAAAGTGGCAGAAGCTGGGAGTTAAGTCCCTCAAATGTCAGTTCCTAGGCTACTCAGAGAACAAGAAGGCATACACCTGTGTACACAAGTCTTCAGGTCAGATCATGGAAATGTGTGAGGTTGTTGTTGATGAGGGAGATGGGACAGACAAGTCCCAAGTCCAGATTGACATTGTTGTCAAGGGAATGAAGCCTGTAGCACCTGCTATCAGTGATCAGACCACTCATCAGGAAATTAACACTTTACTATTTTTGACCTTTTTGTGACTCTTTTTGACTTTTTTGTGACTATTGTGACTATTTGTGACTTTTTGGGAAGGAACCTACTATCTGTACTTTTTTTTTGACCATATACAGCATTTTGAAGAATGAAAAGAGAACAGAATCTATTGAGACAACTAAGTGATGATATATCTAAGCCAAGAAGACTAGAAAATGTCTGAAAATTCAGAGATATTGAGCCATTGGTGTGATGCACACTGTCTGAGAGAAAAATCACAATATCTCTTTGGAACCTCCATCAATTTGAATGGATGTGGTATCTACTGAAAGCTATGAATTAGGTGGTTTGAAAAGGACCAAAATCAGCAAGAAAAGTGCAGCCATGCCTGCAGGACATGGGTAATGATAGTAGATTCCTTCCCAAAAAGTCACATTAGTCACAAAAAGTCAAAAATAGTAAAGTGTTATTTTCCTGATGCTCAAGGGCACAAGTACCAACCTACAGAGGAAAATAGCAGCTCTGACAGCTCAGATGTGGCCTTGGAAGGAGGAAATAACCTAGTACATGACTGGGGGGACCTAGACGACACTATGGCTACTAATGGTGATGAGGCAATCGCAAATGATCAGGATGTTTCAACACTTGAGCCCAGAGCTCAAGTCCAGAATGAAAAAGGTGTTAGTGGGTTGAACCATGGGAATGATGAGGACAAATGCACCTTGGAATGAAGGCACCAGGCAATGCCTATGCCTGGTCGACACCCTGGGTCACCATGAACACCTCCAGGACCATATCCAGTCTCAATACCACCTCCAGGTGTCAGAAGATCATCTAGAATTCGAAAAACACCTGTAAAAGATGATGATCAACATTACTTTGTCAATGCCTATGAATGACACACACTACCTGTGATGGGGGACTCTGTGGGAAGGGATGAAGGTGGTGAGAGTGGCAAGAGAGTGCTGGAGAGCATGGAAATGGTGAGTGAAGGTGGTGATAGGCCTCATGGCAAACAGCAACACCACAATGCTTACCAAGCAAACATGTCATGTGATCACAAACCAGCAACCTTCGCAGAGGAAATGTGTCATCCTGATGCTGATTGCTGGTATGCAGCCATGGCTGATGAACTCACAATGTTTAAAAATATAGGATTATATGAAGAGGTCCCTTGGCTGCCTGATTGAAAGATCATTGACTCAAAATGGGTCTACAAAATAAAATGAGGACCAATGGGCAAAATTGATAAATACAAGGCATGACTTGTCACAAAAGGATTCACACAGGTGCATGGTATTGACTACATGGAGACATTTGCACCCATAGCCAAGTTCTATATGATAAGAATTCTACTTGCCCTTGCTGCTAAGTACAATCTCAAAGTTCATCAGATGGACATGAAGTCTGCCTTTTTGAATGGCAAACTTGAGGAAGAAATTTATCTTTGCCCCCCTCAGGCTTTTGAGACTCTAGCAATGTCATCTGGTGCCTTTATCATGTGCTCTATGGACTCACACAAGCTCCAAAATCCTGGTATACAAGACTTTGAGAAGTTTTTGAGTCACTTGGGTTCATGCACAGCAACACAGACCATAGTCTATTCTTCAAGGTTGAAGATGGTGCCTTAATCATCATAGCTGTGTACATTGATGATAACTTAATCCTGTCAAAGAGCTGTGAAGCCATTGAACATCTAAAAACCCAACTGTCAGCCAAGTATGACCTCTCAGACTTGGGAGAAGCTTGTTGGATACTTGGGATGGAGATTATATGAGATTGCGACAAGGGAACAATAGAACTCTCCCAATGTCATTATATAGAGTCAGTTCTTGAGTGTACAGGCATGCAGGATGGCCAGACAGTGTCCACACCCATTGAGCAAAACCTATAACTCAAAAAACTTGATGCCCCTGCATGCAACCTTCAGTCATATCAATCAGCACTCAGCATGCTGATGTATGCCATGTTGGTGACATGACCTAACCTTGCTTTCGCTGTAGGTGTACTCAGCAGGCATGTTGCTACCCCTGGAGACCAACATTGGTCTGTGCTGAAGTGGGTCTACCAGTACCTATGCAAAACTTCGAGTGCATGTCTACAGTACACAAGGGACCCTAGTGGCTCTCCCTCATTGGTTATGCTGATGCAGACTGGGCCACAGATGTTAATGACCATTGCTCAGTCTCAGGCTATGTCTTTATCCTGTCCAGTGGAGTTGTAAGCTGGTCTTCAAAGAAACAAGTATCAATAATAGAATTGATGAATTGAATGGCATGGACAGCATTTTTGAGCTGAGGACAAGGAGTTTGAGCTGGGTCAGGTTCAGGGAATTCTGGGGCTGGCTGGGGAGACACTTGGAACAGCAGATCAAGGGTGCACAGGTGAGGTGGGAAGAGCTGCAGAAGCTGAAGGATGAACTCCAGGACCTGTAGATAACCAGATCATGTCTGCAGATATTTTTGTACTTGTATGTTCTGAAAATTTAAGACTCTTTTGTGTGTCAGTATTAGTACTAAAGTGAGTGAAGGAAAAACAAGACCTTTGAATGAAAGAGTGTCATGGAATTTTTTTTTGACTGTTTCTTGTGAGCAGTGTGGTTTTTTATATGAGATGAAATGGGTATTGATAAAAGTCTTGCAGAAGCACCAGTCAGCTGGGTGACTTCAATATGAGTGCTATTCTGTGGGAAATAGGGGTATAGATGAAAGGCAGAAAAGCAGAATGTGAAGACAGTGCCATCTAATCCTGCAAGAATTTATGAGCCACCTTTAGTGAGTTGGACAATGATCATTGTTCCCAGGTAGCATGGTTTAGTTTTCTGGTTGAGTTCTAGCTCAATGCAAGAATTCCAAACAAGGATGAGTGACCCTGGTTCAAAGTCAAAGTCTTTGATGGTATGCCCAAAATGAGCAATGAAATCCTTAGCTGACACAAAGTGGGATATCAGGACTAGATCATGGATGCAAGTGAGGTCTTTGGGATGTTTCTGGAGCTGGTGAGCATGATGAGCAATGAGATCAGTAGTCAAATAAAATTCTGCCTTGAAAGGGGCCAAGAATGTTGCTTGATTGCTCCTTGACTCTGCTCCACATGGCACCCTGACTAGGACCCCAAAAACACTTTTGCCCTTGTCATGCCAGCCCCAGCAGCAGAGGCCCATCACAAGCACCTGCAATGTATAGTAGCATTCTTCAGGAATACAATGCTAAGACACATCATCCAACTCCCTAATCCACAGAGCCAGCAAGCCCTCTGTACACTTGACAACCCATGACCACAACAGGACAAACATCCTTAAGGTCAGGTTCCCACACCATGTCAAGCCCCCTGCTGGGACCCTGTATGTCTGGTGTGGCCCCACCCAGCAAAACCACTGGAAGCAGTGGCATCCCACTTGATGATATCATCAATGACCCAGAAGCAGAAATCAAAGATGCAGGAACAGCAAGAACCCTCCTAGACCAAATGTACATGATCCATGGAGAACCAGCATCGCCAGAACACATCTCCCAGGCACTCTTCTACATATTGCAAGCAAAAAATGTCAACAACACACTATGCCTTACCATCCATGCCACAGCATTCCTCATTAAGGAACTAGTGGTACCAGCCCTGGCTGACTCCATCATCAGGGCAGTCACAGATAAACTCAACAGTTTGGTACTGATCACAATCTCCCCCCATGTAGGAAAGATACTGGCAGCTGCTGACAACCTAGAGAAGATCATCAAGAAAGCTAGCAAAAACATCCAACTGCTCAATGCCAGGGTCACCAATCCCATCAATCTGCCATCCAATGCCCCCACCCACTCAAGCATCAACCACCTGGAAGGCAAAGTACAAAGCCTTGTTGACAACTTAGGAACAGTCAAATCAGTGCTAGAAGTGAAAAATCTCCTCAAATCCAATGCCCCCCCAGCTCCTTTCCCCATATCCTACAGGGACATTCTTGCACCAGCAACAGTCAACCTGAACTGCCTCCTAAGGGATGGCCTCTATAGGGGCCTAGACAGACTCTGCCCATACAAGGATAAAAGGGAACCAGTCTGGTGCCTCAAATGTCAGTGAACAGGTCACCTGGCAAAGGATTGCAAACAAGCTGAAGATACTTGTGGCCAGTGCACCCAACCATACTGCATGCAAGGGTGCAACTCCCTCACAGCCTACTGCATCATCTGTCAGAGTGACACCCACCCCAGCAATGACAGACAATGCCCTGGCTTCATAAGACAGTGCAACATGCTATATGACCACACCCCAGAGAACAGAATGCTGTATTTCCCAACATCAGATGAATGGACACAGGTAGAGCTACCCCCACACCCCCAAGACCCCATCAAGTGGACCAGACCCCCCCCCAAACCAGCTCACCACCCAAGGTCAGCTGAGGCAAATGACCTTAGGTGAGGTCATGAACATCCACACCCATGTCCCCAAATGTGGTCAACACAACATGATATGAGGGGGCAGAGGAGGCCCACCCCCTCATCCCCAAGCCCTACTTCACCCCCTACCACCCCACCCCAACTTCCAGCCTGCCACAACCCTACCCCCAGTGATGTCTGAAAACCATACACAAAATAATGCATTGACTAAACTACACATATGGCAACAAAACCCTAATACATCCCACATAGCCCTGCACTCACTAATCAACAGCCAATTAGCTGAAGAATGGGACATAGTCATGCTACAAGAACCACTGATTGATCAACTTGGCAACACCAGAGCAAATACCCACTGGAGGGTGGTATACCCATCAGTGAAACTAGCACAGGGTGTGAAGCCCCAGGTGGTTACCCTGATAAACTTGAAAGTTAGCACTAACTCCTGGGAGCAGATTGACTTCCCATCTGTGGACATGGTGGTCACAAGGATGAGGATGTTGAAAGGGGTGTACACACTTTTCAACATGTACAATGACTGCAAGCATGACTGTATGTTGGAGGGAATAGGGACGTTCCTGGCAGAGAGCATAAGAGACATCAGGAAGGGTGAAAAGTGATGGAATGACCTGGGTAGGTGACTTTAACAGACACCACCCCATGTGGGATGAGGAATGTAACCACCATCTCTTTATGGCCTCTGCAATTGCATTGGCACACAAGCTACTGGAATTAGTGGCAGACTATGGCATGGCCCAGGCCCTGCCCAAGGGCACCCCCATGCTCCAGTCCTCCTCCTTGGGGAACTGGGCACATCCAGACAATGTCTTTTGTACAGAGTCAGTGTTAGCAGACCTACTCAGGTGTGACACCAGCCCAGAGGACCACAGCCCCAATACCAACCAGCTCCCAATACTGACATTACTAGATACAACCCTCACCCCCTTGTTGACACCCCCACTCCTCAACTTCAGGGAGGTTGACTGGAAGAAGTTCAACAGTACACTAAAAGCTGAGCTAGTGAAGTTAGGCCCCCCAATGACCATCATCAGCAAGCCAGAGTTCCAGAGAATGGCCAAAGGCATAGAAGAAGCCCTGCACAGGACCATGGAGAAAGAGGTCCCAAGAACATGCCCACACCCCCATAGGAAAAGATGGTGGATGAAAGAGCTGACAATAATGTGCAATGAGCTGAAAATGCTAAGTAAAGCATCACATACATTCCATGCATTACACAATCACCCCAGTCACAGCCAGTGTAAGACAAAAGCCAAGGAGTATGACAAGGCCATTCAGTCAGCAAAAAAGAACCACTGGAGGGACTGGTTTGAGGAGGCAAACAGCAATGCCCTGTGGATAGCAAACAGGTACATATCCAAGCCCCATGGAGATGGCAACAAAGCCTGAGTACCAACACTCAAGAAACTAGATGGCAACAGAGTCACATCCATGCTCAGCACCAATGAAGACAAGAGCCAAGCCTTAACAAGCATGCTCTTCCCTCCCCCTCCACCCCAATCCTCAATGCTGCAGGACTACAGATACCCACTGCTGGAAGCACAGTGGACAACCATCACAAAGGACCAGCTTGCATGCAAGATCAAAAACCTCAGCCCATACAAGGCCCCAGGGCCTGATGGGGTGGCTAACATCATTTTCCAGAAGTCTCCTATCCTATCGAGCTACTTGTTACACCTCTTTAATGCAGTGTTCATGCTACAAACCTACTATGACCCTTGGAGGGAATTGACAACAGTAATTCTCTGCAAACCCAGAAAAGCAGACTACACCACACAAAAGGCTTATTGCCCAATTGCACTCCTCAACACCACAGCAAAACTCCTCTCAGCAATTGTAGCAGAAAACACAATGTACATCCTCAAGAAACACCACCTACTCCCAGGCACTCACTTCAGCAGTAGGCCAGTCTGTTCAACTGAAGATTCACTAATCCTACTAGAATCCATGATATGGCACACATGGCAATAAAAGCAAGTGGTCTCCACACTCTTCCTTGACATCAAAGGAGTGTTCCCAAATGCTGTCACAGACCACTTGTTACACAACATGAGGAAGTGGGGCCTACCTACTGAAATCATTAACTACACAGGGTGGCTACTCTCCAACAGGAAGACCAAGATTTGCTTTGATGACTACAAATCCAATTGGTTTGAAATCTGCAATGGAATAGGCCAGGGAGACCCACTATCAATGATCCTCTATGTAACTTACAGCTCAGACCCAGTGGACAGAGCCAAAGGAAAAAATGAACACTAGCCTTTGTGGACAACACCACCTTCATAGCTATCAGTAAAACCTTCGCAGAAACCCATACCATCCTATGTGACATGATGGAACAAGACAATGGCAGCTATGCTTTGTCTAAAGATCACAACTCCTGATTCAAGACCAGCAAGTTTGCACTGATGGACTTTACACTCAACTGCAATAAACCCAGGCCACCATTAATGCTAAGAGATACCACCATAAATCTGTCAACTACTCACAAGTTCCTAGGTGTGATACTCAATCAAGAACTAAGGTGGAAGACACAAGCAATGCAAGCTCTAGCAAAAGGCACAAAGCAGGCCCTCCTGCTTCAAAGGCTCTCTATGACCTCATGGGGCATCCTATGGAGAATCCCCAGCAGGCCATGGAGAATCTCCAGCATGACATGGAGAATCCCCAGCAGGCCATGGCAAATCTCCATTGTGGCATGGAGAATCCCCAGGGTCCATGGAGAATCTCCAACATGACATGGAGAATCCCCAGCCAGCCATGGAGAATCCCCAGCATGCCATAGAGAATCCCCAGGGGCCATGGAGAATCTCCAACATGACATGGAGATTCTCCAGCATGACATGGAGATTCCCCAGTGGGCTGCATCAGGAAAACAAAACTTTTTCTAAGTGGTCTAATAGTCTACACTGCATCTAATGATGTCTTGATATTTGCAGCACTTTAGTGCTCATTGTCTAACATCATCTAATTCATGCTGTCTTACTGACACACTTTTTTTTCTGTGGTCCTAATGTGGTCTGTAAGTGACTTATTGATATCTTCATGCCACTATATTACTGTAACTCTTCATTCATAGTACTTGTCACAACCATGCATTTACTCTAAGTCCTTACTCACTCCACACCCTACTCCACTGCTCATTCACACTCTCTGCACCAACTCTGCCTGCACTCTACCATTCATGAGTCTCCTCCACTCTGCCTTCTGTTGGACTTGTACCAGTCTCTCATCAGACCATGCAGACCACCCTTGTGCACCACATGGCCCATCACCTGGACTGTTTCCTTTTTGGCTTGTCCTGTGTTACCTGTCATATGTTCTCCATCTGCCCTTCATTCATCATCCAGAAAGTTGTTACTTGAAAACTTATGAGTCTCCATATGTCAGTCCTGATTCCAGTTACTGCACCTCCATAGCAGTATAAAAGCATGTACAGTACTCCACTGTTCTCCAGTATGAACATCACCAAAGTTCCTACTCCATCTCTCTCCATCTTCTGACTGTCAGAGCTATCTCCAAACATCTGTCTGGTCTCTTCCTCTGAAATATGAGGGCTGACATCATGCAAGGGGGTAGTGCACAAGCTAAACCCAACACCCTCATTCTGCTCCATTTCTGCCTCAGCTGACTTTGTCCCTGCCAATCTTCCACTAGTCAGACTTCCATTCATCTGTGTCAGGCTTGCTTCCACACCTCTCTCCAGACTCAGCTAAGCATCAGAGTTGGTTGGAGTAGGCTCAGACTTGACAGTGCTCTATAGAACCATATGTGTCTTGCTTAATTCACTTGCTCTATACATTCCTTGGCATCCATTCCACTTATACATCTACCTTTCTGAGATAAGTTGTGATTAGAACAGTTAGAACAACCACTGTTTTCCTGATGCATGGAGAATCCCCACCAGGACATGGCCTGGTAAAGTGGGCCTATTTAGCCTGGGGAAAACTCAGGTTTGCCCTGGAAAGGTGTCTAATTAGCCTATGGGAAGCCCATGTTCTGCCTGGAAAGCAGGTCTATTTACCCTGGGGGAACCCAGGTCAGCCTAGAATGTAGGTCTATTTAACCTGGGGAAAGCCCAGGTTCACCCTGGAGAGCAGGTGTATTTAGCCTGGGGAAATCCCAGGATCAACCTGGAAAGCAGGTGTATTTAGCCTGGGGAAAGCCCAGGATCAACCTGGAAAGCAGGTCTATTTAGCCTGGGGAAAGCCCATGATCAACCTGGAAAGGGGGTCTATTTGGCCTGGAGAAAGTCCAATTTGGACCCCAGCTACCCTTTCATTTGATGTATAATATATATATATTATGGAGAAAATGTTTTCTCCAACCATATTAAATCACTGCCCTGGAGAATCTCCAGGAATGGTGTGAGTCAAAGTGAGGTTCAGTGGTGAAAACCAACCAAAACCAATACAAAAGACAATGAAAGCAAGTGGTGGTGTGCCTATGCGGTACCTAGATGGTAGAACCTGTTCTTTGGGAGGGTTTTTGCAAGCTACAACACTCAAAGATGAGTCTGAGGGTTGGGGGTGCTCCTGATGGGGAGGGAGCAAGAATGTGATAGAAAGTGATAGGGTAGACTGCTGTCAGCCTACAGAAGGATGGATGGTGACTTAATTCGATGTCCTAAGCTGTACTGAGCTCAGGGAGGGCTTGGAGCGAAGT